ATTTTTGTTGTATTTTTGTGTAATAATTTATTTATGAATATTTTAAAATTGCAAATTCATGGCCCACATAATCTGCCATGCATTAATAGAGCAGTAATTTAATTAGATATGAGTATTACCCACTTATTTGTACGTAATATAAATGTAATATAAAAAACAGTATATTAAGTCATACATTTCAAAATACATCATATATCTCACAAGTCACTTAATATATTACAATATACTGTTTAATATATTGCAGTACATTTTTCATACATTACAATATATTTTTGTTTCGTAAGGGTGGCTGGTCTGTCCTGAAATCATACAGCTGAAAAGTTTTCAAAAACAGTATGTATTATATAACATGTTGGATAAATAGATGTAGTTTATTGCTGATTTCATGTTAGTTGAAGTTTCTGCTTTTTAACATATGTATAAAGTAATGTCATCTGTTCTATAAATAAACTCAAGTGAAACAAAAAATGTACAGTATGTTTTCATGGCTGCCAAATCTCAAGCATCTGGCATGACACTCACGCTTTCAGACTGACGCTGGAAAGCTTACGGCAAATCTATATTATTCCATTATAAAACCTACAATTAGCTATGTCAAAAGTGTATTTACACGGTTAAAAACAAAAACAGACCATTTACAAGGTAAGAACTGTTACATGTGTGTGCAGACATCTCGAATTGAAAATCTCACTCCAGCCAGCTGGCCGAAGTTCTATGTCACGTGACAATAAATATTGTCAAAACATTTTGAATTGTACTGAATTAATTTGATTTGACAGTCAGGTACTGATTACATGCAATGTTGATACAACTAATAGAGTTTTAAAAGTGATGCTATATTGGCCATTTTGGAGATTTTATATATCTTCGGGTGCACTTATTCCCTCTTGTTGGGGCAGCCAGTGAGGTATGTTTATTCAAATTTATATTTTGTTTTTTTCAGTGTGTGTGTGATATCAATACGCGTCTGTACTGTACATTGTCACATATTTGAACAGTTTGACGGCGGATTTGATGACAGTGAAGTGCAATAAGTACAATAAGAAGAGTAAATTCATCAGTAAACTGACGAACCACGGTGTCATGTATTTTCTGTAGGGAGTGAAAGACAGTCAACCTACAAAAATCTGGTCAGGCACTCGATGTGAAAATGCTGTGTTTGCTTCTTAAAATACTCCTTCTTGCATTTTCTCTACCTTTTAGTAACTGGGTTGTAAGGGGGGTGCTGGTTCAGGAGCTCAGCTGTGCTGATCTCCCTGGCAAAGAGTAGGCTGAATAGAGTCTGCCTCTCCTTCATTTCAACTTCATTACCTTTGCTCCAAAACCAGTGCCACACTGCACACACAAGGGGGAATACGCAGAGTGCCTGTGTGGCTTCGGGGAGGACCCTGCCTAATGCTCCCTTACCTGCTTTTGAGTCATGTGTAAGAAACAGGCAGGGGCCTGCCTCGCCAAACCCTGCAAAGGCATCCTCTCTCAGCAGGGACTTAAGTAGGTCCATTTCCTCAATAATGGTCCTCCCATCTGTGTGTGAGTAGCAGGAACACCCTACAGTTCTCCTGGTCCATGTTCCCAGACAAGTCCATGAAACACATTTCACCACTTTAGTGATGCACTGACCCAATATTCAAGACTGGTATCAGCCCAGACCTATTTGACAGATCTGGTATCGGCCATATGTGACCGATCCATGTCCCATAGTTACTTATTTAGTTTTTGGCAGTCTGTAAAAAGAGAGATTCTATTTCTTGTTAAATTGGTTTTGTACAATCAATCGCACTGCAGCTCTTTCCCATTTTACATGTGTTTTTGCGGCATTCAAGCTGAACGCTAACGCTGCCACTCAGGTTTTTTGCAGTTCAGTGGGTGTGAGCGCAGTGACTTCCGCCTGCTGTGACGTCACGCGCAAACCCTTTGTTGTTGAAGCAGCACAAGAACTTCAGATAAGAGGGTGACGATTTGAAAGTATTTTACGCTTTTAACACAGCGATTTGCAATCTTAGTAAAAAAAAAAAGGTTTTTAGATGGGGTAGTAGCATTTAGTGGAAAATCCCGCTGAACAAAGCGCACGCGATTGTGCGGGACAATGCGAGTAATATGAGAAAGGCAATGGATGATTCACTGGCTTGGCCTGTTTTGCACACTCACTACAGCTTGTGATACACAAGGGGCTGCTATCACAATTAAGCGAAAGGGACATTAATTGTGGGGCATTTGAAGCATTTGCCACTTGTGTATACTCTCCTGGAAGATATTCAAACTGAAATGCAAATGCCTCAAAAATACTAAAAACAAGATGTGTTAAAGTAACATTATATGTTAAAGTGAAAAGAGCTGCGGTATCGGTATCGGCAGTTTGGTATCGGAATTGGATCGGGACTGAAAAAATGTGGATCAGCCCATGACTACCCCACGCTACATTGTAGGTTTCAAGCTGCTTCTCCAAAGCCGACAGCATTGCTTCCCCACTCTGCTGGCCGAACTCCTGCCTATTCACCTTCTGGCACAGTCTGCAGATTAGATAATACAACATTCATGACTGCAGGCCATCACACCAGCCTATCCTAAAACCATCACATTAATCATTCTTTCCAACTGCAAGCATCAAGCTAGTTGATGTCATAGTTTTTTTTAAGTTAAATCTTGTCACATAGCTGAAGCAGGGTGTGAGCAAAGGGCACGGTTAGCTGAGGTATAAACATATTTGGCCCCAGGCTCCGCCAATAGGTCATTTTTTAGGACGGCCTGAGCTGAAGCGGAGCTGTGCCTGATCCCAAACAATTGACTCAGCATCTCAACAGCATTAAGCCCCACTTTCCTGTGCCTCAGGGCCTCTGCCACAAACATGTCATCACTGTGTACATTTTACACAAACAGACACTCAGATGCTGGGTAGGCAGGTACAGTATATGTGGGTCATTGCTCCTGAAAGCCACCATACATACAGGCTCAAAAAGTTGACAAAAGTAAAAAAAACATTTTTTGTTTTTTCTCAGCTGCACCTTCCTACTGTTCAGCTACTCATGTCTGTGGTATTCAATAGCGCAGATTCCACTTTAGCTTGACAACAGGTGTTTTTTTCGATGTCTTTGACCAGCTGATCTGAATATAAGACCTTTGCGTTCCTGGAATAGAGAAGCACTCTCCGTCTCGACACAGCTTTTTGTTCCCCTCTAGAGAGACGTGAGCAATGATGTATATTTAGTCAAATGGTGTAGAGCGCAATGCCATCTAGAAGAAGACATTCTGTACATTGTTTGTACGTAAGCAACATAAATGACACGCAAGGCAAATATCATGCAAATGAAACCACCTACAGATCGACTGAGACATATAATTAAGAACGAAATGAGATATACAGGAAATGTGGAAACTGTCCAAAAGGAGCAGAACTAAGTGACATTCTTATTGGACAATCCTTACATTTGAATTAAGTTATTAAGAAACCGTTCAGGATGAAAATCGGCCATTTCTGGTCACTAGCTGATCGATCCGTGCATTCCATCATAAAACTGGTCAACATAAGCCTCACCTTCTGCCTGCAGCCTGTCCTTCTAAGTCACCATCCCTATTTGTTTGCCTGACTGATCATGCGATCTGCTGTAACAGCTTTTCACACAACAATACTGACCGACCATGACAACAAATCCGGATCATTGAATGAAAGGAAGAAAATGTAATGTTACCACAACCAGCTATTGCTAACAGACAGAGCTTAGTGTTCCTAATGTGAAATAGGTGGGTCGACCCAGAATGTGATATAAGTTACTTTACTTGATGTGAACTCGCTGCAGTGGTTTGGGTAAACTTGAAACTTACAAGATTCCTTGAAACTGCATCATCATGATTGCATCATTGGCCTAATAGCTGAGCAATACATCACAGGGGGAAGGAATTTGGATGATGAAAGAAATTTGGCATGACATAAGCATAAGTGTCCTATAAATGTCCAGATGTTCCCCATTTGTGTGGTCAGTACTTGCAGAAGTATATTAAAGTCTATCCTTAGGCCTACTTAAACTTAAACATCAATCCTTTGAGTTACAACATTACTTTATTATGTTTCAACGCTTCAAGCATTGTGTCTTTTCCAATTCTGGGTCTGCCTTAACTCAGAATATAATTTGACAGATCAATTCATTTTAATTTATGCTCAAGAGCATGGTAAATCAACTAAATTAAACAGTGGCACTGCACATGTCCAATATTTTTAACTAAATCTACTAGTTTTAACTAGGTTTGGATGAGTTGTTAAGTGGCATAAATATCTATTAAATCAGTGTCACCAACTTCGGTCAGCAGGTTGGCGTGAGATTTTCAATTTCAAAGTCTGCATGCACATGTACATGCATGTAACAGTTTTATTACCTTGTAAATAGTCTGGGTTTGCAAACTACCTCAGTGCTTTTGATCAAGCTAATTTTAGGTTTCTAATGGAATAATACAGATTTGCTGTAAGATTTCTTGCATGACAGCCAGATGCGTGAGAGCTGGTGTTCTGTCGATATATGCTGCCTTGTCGAAAAATGCTACCGTAGTGCTAATCGATAGCCCTAACCCTAACCCCCCAAAACCCCTAAAACCCTTACCTTAACCTTAACCCTAACCCCTAAAACCTAACCCTAATCCCAAGACGGTGGAACTACACATGCACAGAAAGGCTCGATAGCACGTCTCGGTAGGTAGTATTTCATGACAGAACACTGGCAACACTGTTAAATGAGTATGGGTTAGTTCAGAGTGCACAGAAGATCAAAGTATTGTTATGTCAGATGTCGTAAGTGAAACCAAGAATCAATACTTAGAGTACATATTTGTAAAGCTGGTTGATAAAATAAAAGTTCAGGCTGTCATGTGTTTCTCTAAGAAATTGGTTATTACTTTAGCGCGACACCAACCAGGATTAGCGATAGGAAAACGCATGGATGGATGGATGGTATGTATGTCGGAACTAATGTTTTATTGCATTAATGCTTTGTTGCAAGGCGGACGTCATTCCCTGACGCACCGCTGCTGTTATGTCGCTGTTATGGAAACCACCGTCTGTATTCAGATATAAAAGAAAGTGATAGGGGGGTCAAAAGCAGGCTGTACCAGTCCGATGTCTTAAATTAAAATCTTTAAAAATAACATCATTCAGCATTCTCGTGGAATTATAATGAATTCTGACCGCTTCGCACTAACGATTGACGAATACTTAGGTACAGATAACCAGATGTCAATGTCCATTTGGATTAAATCAAGGCGGCATCGCTTCGTAATGCATGTGAATAATGCTCCTATATCATAGCTTATGATGTTTAAGTAATGTCATGTTCGTCATTTCTGTGAGTGTTCACACGGTGTACGCGGTGTTTAAATGATGTGTTCCCTTTCTCGGGGCGTTTACGCAATGCTTTGGCACGTTCTCCTTGTTCAATGTCCCTGAACCAGCCGAGAAAGACGTGATGTTCTACCTTGAGGACGCGATCACTCAACTGCTGGAGCACAAGGAGGAATACGTCCAGTTTGGGGTCAGCCGCTATCTCGCAGAATAGTGAGTCTCACACATGCTGGATATAGGGTGTGGGATGCAGGGTGCGGAATGCTGGAGGTGGGGTGCATGATGGGTGGATGCTAGTTGCAGGATGCAGTATGTGAGATGCAGGATAGAGGATGCTGGATGCAGGATACTGGATTTCTAATACCAAGCTTAAACATATGCAAAACAGAAGAGGAAGAGTTTTTTTTATTATTATTATAATTACACTCTTAATTAATCTTCCAGTCAAAGTTGAATGTGTCAATAGTGAAAACTTCTGTGAATAGATAGTGTCAAGCTGTTTGCGATCAAGATTTGGGATAGTTTTGTGATGGTGGTTTGGGATTGTGGCTTGTGATGTCGGTTTGTGATAGTAGTTTGGGTTACAGCTTGTGGTCCTGGTTTTGGATGCTGGTTTGAGATTGAGGCTTGTAATGCTGTTTTGGGATTGTGGCTTGTGATGCCGATTTGTGATGCTGTGGGCAGTGGTGTCCTAATGCTTAGGGAAGCGCACTTGTAATCGTAAGATTGCTGGTTCAAATCCCCGACCAGCAAAGTACCACTGAGGTGCCCTGAGCAAGGTACCACCCCCAAGCATTGCTCCCCGGGCACTGAATTAGCTGCCCCCTGCTATGTCATGATGTCATGGGTTAAATGCAAGGGGACACATTTTGTTGTTGTCAACAATGACAACTTCCCACTTCACTTCAGTTTGGGATTATGGCTTGTGGTGGTGGTTTGCAACAGCCCTCTTCCTGTCTGCAGTTTTAACAGTGTCCGCCATGGAAGCCACGTCCTCTTCAGGGAGTTCGGCTATATCAAGGCCACCCCCCATAACAGGGCCTCCTTCATCCGCATCTTCTGGAAGTGTTACAGGCAGATTGGCAAGAATGGAGGTGAGCATGTTTAAAGCAGTTATTTCATAACGTTCCATTTAATCAGCCTGTCAATCAGTAATCTAACCATTTTAGGCATCCTATATGCCATCCATGCTGTGTGTAGCAGCACAGATGCCTATTTAACCGCAGTTTATTTCCTGATAATCCTGTTCAGTTCATTCATGTGTGTAATGTCATTCCGTGGCTGACGCTGTGGTTTTCTGTCCTGCTTCAGTCCTTTTGTCCACGCTGGAGTACAGCTCACTGCTGCAGCTGATCTGCCCGGACTTTCCAGTGGAAGTTGCGCAAGGTGCGGCAAGGTTAGTCGTGGACGCAGATAGCGCACAGATCAGCAGACACAGGAGCTCTGGCCCGGAGAGCACTGGTGTGCAGTGACAGCTGCAGCATGATGCCCTCAGCACTGGGTGCCGCTCGCTGGACGAATCTTACATTTGCATATAATGTTTTTAGCAAATAGTTTTATCCAACGGGGATCAGCTAGTCCCTGAATCAATTGGAGGTTATGGGCCTGGTATCATCCAGCACAGGAAATATAGTCTGCAAGGTGTGAGTATTGTCATAGACCAGTACAATGCTGCATTCCATTTACAGTAAATTAAGTCAGAATTGGGAATGATGTCACACTCAAATTAACTGCGTTCCATGCGGGGTTCCATTTACCTCAAAGATCAAAGTAATAGCTGGGAATTATGTCACATTTGAATTAACCCGCATTCCAGTACAGCAAGTTGGAAAACCATTTACCAAAACCAGTTCTAGCCAGGTTCATTGTTAGCTATTATTAGCAATATCAGTTGATAACAATGCATTATACAGTATTTTCTGCACCATAGAGACATGTCCACAGATTAATGTTAGACAATGCTGATAAAATCGAATCCTGTTGTCGGGGATGCAGAGGTTCCTCTGACTTTCTGAGTCGTAACTCCGATTTCGGGGGGAGGGGGAGACCTCAGGGGCTGTATGGAAATATCTGGTTTGAGTGGCTGTAAAGAGGACTGCTGTCTCCGGGTCTATTGTACATGATCCATTTTGCAGATAATTACCGAAGCCGTCGGACTGAGACATCGAGCATCAGGCAGAGGTGGGGAGTTCTGGTCCAGGGAGTCCATACCAAGATTTTGTTTCTGTGACTGGTTGGTTGAAGCAAAATCTTGTTCTAGACTTTTACTCTCTGTACCTAAATTATCCTCCTCTGGTGCCAGTTGCCTGAGGTCTCCCCAGCTGCTCGTCTTGGTTAGCGAGCACAGTTAGCAGGTGGAGAACTTCTGGCTGCAGCGTGGATGATGGAGTTCTTTCCCAAACAGGATGGTGCTGCTGGACGATGCTTTGGACTGCCCCATGACCTTCGCCGATTTCCTGCACGCCCTCCAGATCCAGCTGTACTTTGAAGGCAGGTGCCGACCTCCCTCGAGGAACGCTGAGCACTGCCTTCTGAAGTCTCCATTAAAAGCTCACGGTGTCTGTTGGAGGGAGTGATGCAGAGCACGTAGACCAGATGTTGGCCAAACAGCAAACTAATGGCACCTTGGAAAACAATCACACACTAAGGAATGCTTTATGTAGCATATATTTTTCTAAATTTTCAACAACATATTATGATTAAGCTATATAAAAAATGATGTCCATCAGAGTTCCCCAATTCTGGTCCTGGAGGACCAGAATCCAACACAATTTGAAGATCTCCCTCTTCAAACACACCTACTAATCCTGGCAATTAGCCGATTAAGGTGTGTGTTTAGCAAGGAAATCTGAAAACACTGTTGGATTCTGGCCCTTTAGGAACAGAATTTGAACCTGATTTGCATAGGTAAGTACAGTGTGTTACTGAGGAGTAACATTTCAATAAATGGGATCGTTTTTTTGCATAGAAGTCATTAAATACGAAAATTGTGCTTAAGGTAACAAGAAAGCAGGCAGCCCAGTCTGATGCCATGTGAAGCCCAGGCTGTAATTCTGTACTGTTTCGTGTTACATTCTCTGAATATGTTTGGGTATGGGGCACCCGGTTACCTACCACATTGGTATGGGGGAGGGCTATATTTGGCTATATCTGTTTGTGGCTTGATGTAACTCAGTGTAGGTTCTGGAAGGTTCATCTGGAGGAAATTGGACCTGGGATCAGGGATCACATTTCCTTTACAAAAAGAAACTGAAGGAAACCCCTCTAGGGGGCCAGACATTATCACCCTGCATGCATGTTACTTATTTAATTACTGCTTTAGCAGCTGTGCTATTACTCAGCCCATTACTGTCCTGTGTAGGGGAGGGTCTGTAGACCTTGGTCAGTAGAAAATGCCCGTTTCTGCCTTACAGAGTTCATAGAGAGTATCACGGTGATTTACCAGGACCTGCTGTCCGGGAAGAGCCCCAACACTGTGATTGTCCCCACGTCGACTTCAGTGGAACAGCTCCCCCCGCTGGCCACCAGTGAGACTGCAGCCCAGGAGGGAGTGGATGCTTCAGCCTTCCAGGATGCAGTAGAAGCGGCCTGTGAGAGATACAAGCATAGGTACACAACGTCACACGGGGCTGTTAGCGCATAGCTAGGCTAATAAAAGGTGTCGTTTTGAAGGATGTGGCGTGAAGGGTGTGCCGAGGCCACAGGAATGGGGTGCGGGCCTGAGCTCTCCCTGTCTTTATCGTCGTCTCTTCCAGCCACCCGCCTGCTCCTGCCGTCGGGGAGATCCTGCAGCAGGACGAGCGGGTCACCCTGTACGGCTTCCTCACGGCCCTCGCTAAACATGAGGGTATCAGTAAAGAGATCGGTGAGTACCTGCATGAGTACCTGCATGAGTACCTGCATCTCCACCGGCCACATCACGCGCCTTCACTCTGGGATACCCACAGAGCCCCTCCCCATCACTGGGGACAGTAGGTTCTCATCCCCTCCCCGTCACTGTGGATGGCAGGGTCTCGTCCCCTCCCCATCGCCGGGGAAGACAGGGTCTCGTCCCCTCCCCATCGCCGGGGATAGTAGGGTCTCGTCCCCTTCCCATCACTGGGGATAGTAGGGTCTCATCCCCTTCCCATCACTGGGGATAGTAGGGTCTCGTCCCCTTCCCATCGCTGGGGATAGTAGGGTCTCGTCCCCTTCCCATCGCTGGGGATAGTAGGGTCTCGTCCCCTTCCCATCGCTGGGGATAGTAGGGTCTCGTCCCTTTCCCATCGCTGGGGAAGACAGGGTCTCGTCCCTTTTCCATTGCTGGGGATAGTAGGGTCTCGCCCCTCCCCAGCACTCGTGGTAGTGCAGTCTGCTGCTCACCAGGAAACAACTTAATCCCAACTCTTAATATTTTTCTCATTTCCAGAGCTCCAGCAGACTTGCATTATTTGGTTTGCACATCTACACTTGCTATAGGTCTTCTTTAGGAAGCAACCCTGAAGTTCTCCATTAATGTTGGTGGAATTAGTTTTATTGCATCCCGAACATGTTTTTGCATGATAGATAAATAGATGGAAATCTAACATGTAATAAGTAAATATAGGGTTAGGGGTACATCTCTCCCTCATAAAACGATCCAATATGTATGTAAATACATGGGCTGCGATATTAAGTGCAATTGATTTTATTACAGAACGATTTGGTGCGATTGTATATGGTGTGATTCGATGCAATGTAATCTTTTAACATTTGTTTAATGTAGATATTCATTTTCCATTACATTATGACAAAAATTACTTACTGTATAAAAAAATGTATATATTATGAATATAAACTGAAGTGTCACGCACCCATGCTCCGGTATCTGTAAACCGTGTCGGCATAGCTGGACACGTTATTCTTATAACACGCTAATGTCACTCTCGGAGGTCAGTGTGAGATGTGCAGATTTAAGGTTATATTTAGATTTAGATTAGCATATGATAGGCAGTTATTATTTTGAAAGTAAAATGACTCGTAGCGTTAGGCGAACGAGTCATCCGCAGCAGCTTAGTTTATACTAAAGTAGAATTAGCAGCAAAGCTTCAGTCACCTGCTTCGTAGCTTTAGAATCGGTCCACCAATTGGTTCATGCTACATTTAGATCAACGCAGGTGTCTGCGTATCGATGTAGTCGCATCTTTAACATTTCTGTACGTTACGTAGGATACGTGATTCAGAGGCCTTCAGCTACCTGTAACCTTGGTGCTCACTGTAAAATCCTGTTTTCTTTCAATTTTTCTATCAAGGAAAAAATCCTGCTCCTTGATTTATAAGCACAAGTGGTGTAGCCCTTCCTGACACATGTCTCCTGTAGGCTAATTGGTGAGTAACCCTGAGCTTATTCCCATTGCAGGTTCCTTGCCGAGCAGAGCCGACCTGCTGATAGACCCGGAGATGGACCAGGAGCTGGAGAGGCTGTGAGTAGGAACCCAGCAGTTCCATTCTCTATTTGCTGATATCACTCTCAGAGCACCACGCCGGGTCAGGGACAGCTTCAGTAAAGCCAGTGCAGTGGAAGGCTGGGGCTTAACACGTCCTGTGGATCACATAGTCACGTGCTGTGGATTACATAGCAGAAGTGTAACTGGAGAGGACACCAGAATGAGGTCAGCTTGTTATGCTGCATTTTCCCTGAACAGCTGTGTGCAGCACTGTATACATACAGTAACCCTGGTTAGTATGTTATAGTGTATATACCCTAAGCAGCTGTACTCAGCACTGTGTACATACTGTAACCCTGGTTAGTATGTTATGGTGTGTTTTAAGGCTGAGCGTACATATGATAACTGCGGGTGTAATTTCAGCATTGCCCAGATCTCAGTCAGCCCCACATCTAGCTGCAGTCAGGCGGCTGCCCAGCGGGACTCCGGGAGAAAGGCGTCACCCCGCAAATCTCTGCACCACCGCAAGAGGATCGAGATGGAGAGCGACGGCTCCACGGAGGAGACCGACTCCTCGGAGAACTAGGAAGGCAGGGGACGCGGCCTGCACACGGACTGGCTCACAGACTCCTGAGTAATAATCAGAATGACTTCACAGCCACAGAGAGACCCCCTTCTTTTTTGACTAAACCTGGCCTACATTATTCAAAGAGAAAGTGCTTTATTTCAGTATAGTATTAAATCCAAACCAACTCACTTATTGGTTGGTCAGCTGATTGGTTGAGTGAATTTCTCCCTGTTGTTTTTATAAAATATAAGTACCAGGACTGGTTAGGAAACCCCTTTTAAAAAGGGATCTGATTTTTCATAACATTTATCATTCGATGAAAAGTGAATGTTCATTATAGGGTCCCCTGTAACGTTAGCCTGCTACTGTCGTAAGTGTGGAAAGGAAAATATCATATAATAACATTTAAATTTATTTGGTGCCCACAGGACAGGAACAGCAGCTAACAGATGGTATCCTATCCTTATGACCCCAAGATGCCCGGGGTTTCAGGAGTTGCTACATTGGGCAACAGTCTACTTGATGGGACACAAACAATGTAGTATTACACTCTTACTTGCTGTTTAAATTAACCAGAACTAAGTGTTAGTTACGTAATGATCCCATGTTTGTTCATTCATTATTATTAATCAATCATAACAGTTTATGTTTTTCATGCAGTTACTATATTTGTTCATGATTTGTACTTGAGTTGTAACTGAGTTCCAAAGTTACATGTGCTCCCTCAAGTATATGCATAATATCCTATATCGTTGCATTCTTCTTGTGATTGACACATTAATTCGCTAGTTTCTTAATGACTAGCTTCAGCCATTATGACAATTTGAATAAAATTGTGACAGTCTGCCCCTAGTGGCAGATCCCTTATTCAATATTAAGCATTCAGGGTCATTAGGCAAAACAAAAAAAAATGAGGAAGTGCATGTTAGACAATACAGAAACCGTAAAAATTTTGAATGTGGGTTTCTGCCATCCATTGTGAATATATTTTTCAGACTCAAATTTTATTGGAATGATGAAGTTCGACTTCTCAAGCCTAGTACATACAAATTATAAATTAATATCCTTGCACAGATTTGCCACTTAGCTGTTTACTTGGGATGGAAGCAGGGGCCATCGTGACGTCATACAGACATTCAATACGTTCAAAATCGTTACGTGCGTGCAGGCAGGCGAGCGGGGAAGCAAGCGAGTAGAGCCGGAAATACGGACAAACGGGGTTTATTCACTGGACAGGAGGCACACCAGGCAAAACGAGCACTAAACATCACAAATAACAGATCTAGGGAAACTCACGCAGACGCGGACTAAATACACAAGACAGGTTGAACTGAACAAGCAACAGGTGATTACAATCGGGTTAGTACACGTAGGTAATGAGGGCCGTGGCACACACGAGGATCGTACGAGCCGGGCGTGACAAAAATGACCATGGAATAGAATGTGTTCTCTCACTCAGAAAAGAGTCTACTCTCACTCATTCTCTGTCACTCATCCAGCCATCTCGTTCACACCACACGACTTTAAAATGGCTACTCCGAGATCAAGCTGTTTCTGATGAGCTTGCATGCAGTTTGTGTGAGGAATTCACAGACTTGGGTGCAACTGCTGACTCTAACGTGATGTGGGAGACCTTCCATGACAAGACCCTGAAGGTTGCCAAGGGCTGTGTTGGTGTTGCCAGTGTTCCCAGAAGGAGGTGTTTCATCTCGCAGGGCACCCTGGATATTATCGAGAGGAGTCACAGTCTGTACCAGGAGCTGATAAGGATGGCTGTGAGGGCTCTGAGGGCAGATAAGGAGGTGTTTGTTAGACAAATTTGTGAGCAGGTGACACACCATCTGTGGTCTAGTGACCCACGTCCTGCTTACAGAGAAATCGAAGCATTACGCACATCTGAATCTGTTCCTCGGAGACTTGCAGTCAGGGCGGGACGGCCCTTATGGATTACACTGCAGTTGTCATCCGCTGGGCCGGCTACTTTGAGCAGTTGTTTAAAGCTGACCATCCAGCTAGGATGTTGGATATCTCTGGGTCTATGGTTCTCAAAGTTGATCCTTCAATCAGCTGTGAACCACCCAGTCTTACTGAGATTGCACAGGTGGTGAATCAGCTGGGGGCAGGGAAGGCCTCAGGGATCTGTGGTATCCGGGGTGAACTTCTCCAGGCTGGTGGTGAGGCTGTCCTTCTAGCATTGGATACCTCAGCAGCGACATCCATGTCTCTGGTGACTCTTCTTATGAAGTCAGCAGGCAGATTTAAAGAGCATGGGGGTCATGAGGTCACTGGAAAGGGATATGTGGCACTCCAGATTTCTCTGCAAGAGGACGAAGGTCCAAGTCTTTAGAGTCCTGGTGCTCCCTGTCTGTGAGACATGGACGCTATCCAGTGAGCTGAGACGAAAACTGGACTCCTTCTGTACTGTGTCTCTTTGGAGAATCCTTGGGTACCACTGGTTTGACTTTGTGTTGAACAAGCGGTTGCTAGATGAGTCCTGAATGAGGCACATTACCTGCATTGTGAGGGAGCGTCAGTTACGGCACTACGGCCATGTGGCACGTTTCCCTGAGGGTGATCCGGCTCAGAGGACCCTCACTGCTGAGGACCCAAGCGGCTGGACCAGGCCAAGGGGACGCCCACGTAACAGCTGGCCCCGGCAGATGGATGGCCATTTCCGGAGGGTGGGACTGGACTTCCTCCCTTCACACCTGGACTTGTATAGTTGTGTGAGGAAGTAACAGGTTCTTACGTAGATGTTTTAGGATGTCAGTTCTGGAAGAGATTATGTATGTAACCCTTAAGAACAAGATTGATCATACAATATATGAACACAGTGTTACATGAGTTTTGAAAAAGCAAAACTACATTCACTAGGGCCAGCTAACAGAGGCATTGCTGAGACTTTAACAAAGTATCACTGCATTTATGAAGATCTCCTTAATATGGGGAGCTCAGTGTCCCAATGCATTTAGACAATGGCAGTACTGGCATAATTGGTGGCCTGGGTAAAATCTGCCAGCTGCTCGGTTGTGCAGTTGTGTGGCACCTCATTGAAGCCCTTCAATGATGCTGCCCACCTTGCCCTTCCCAGGACTTAACTATGGATTTAGCTACTTAGGGAAATGCTACCTGCCATCCCTTTAGTTACCAGTAGAGGGCAAAATGAACCTGACAGATCTGCAGAGGTACCTTCTAAAGCCCCTTGATTGGAATGTATAAGGAGACGGAAAGCTTATATTTCTAGTACACTTATACGTGAGCTTATTCCATGAAAATAGATCACAGAACGGACAACTGAGGGAATAATTTGTGTCATGCGCAGACCTATGTTAGACGACTCGGAAGTGACATACACTGCTACTTTAAAAATATTATTCTGGATGAAACATCCACCCATCCATACATCGATCTATCGATTCATTGATACATCCATCCATCCATCTGCACCCATCTGTATCCATCTGTCTTCCAAAGACTATCCAGTACAGGGCTGGAGGGGGTCAGGGGTCTCATTTGTCAAAGTTGCATACACACAAAAAGAAGCCCGGAATGTGGATGTGCAAACTTTCACATTGATATTCATGTAAAGTTTGATATCTCAGACAACACAGGGCACAAGACTGGGTGCACCCTGGACGGGATGCCAGTCCATCACAGGGCACGAGGCTGGGTACACTCTGGACAGGATGCCAGTTCATCCTTGGACACATACTGTACATGTACACACTCTCATGCACTCTGGATGATTTAAAGGTTTGACTGCAGGAGGAAACCTCACGCAACATGGGGAGAATGGCTCAGTATGGAGTTTTGCCACAATCTCATTCCTTGTGGCCTTATACCTCCTGGGTCAGGGGTTCGAATCCTGCCTCTGCTCTGTCTCTGCAGTTTACAGTATGTGTTCTACCGGCGTTGTGCAGGCGTCCTCCAGCACTTCGGTTTCTCTCATAGTCCAAAGTCACAAATTTTAATGGCGTCTCTAAGATGCCCATAGAGCATGGCTCTATGTGCCTGACGATTACTGGCATTCCGCTCAGGGTGCGATAGGGTGTGGGATCGGCTGCACCCCCCCTGATCAGAATAAGTGGTTAGAAGATGGATGGGGGCACTGGAATTAAACACTTAAAGGTAAAGTTACAGGTGGCTGTTTTGTGTTGGTTTTACTGGATAATGAACAGCATTTGATGATCATAACTTTATGTTAGTTTAAGGCAAAACATTTCAACAAAATAATATGACACATGCATGAAGAATCCGTTTAAGGTTGCCAAAAACATTCAATACAGATTAAATAGGATCTTCATCCCAATTGACTAGGGTATATCTTCCCCTAGATTATGGATTCTTTGAAACATAGGTTTTATGAATATGTCATTTGGAATAGAGCATATCACAATATGTCTTTCTCAAATTAATTTACTACAACAGACGTTTGTCTTTCTGGGAAACGTTACCAAAATTATTCAGTAATCCTTTCTGCCATTAAAGGTTGGTCGCGATGCCAAAAGGAAGCTCTGACACCTGGAAAGCAAGATAAGAGTGTGTACCAGCAGGAGGTCTGCAGGAGGTCTGCAGGAGGTCTGCGAATTCATGGGGTTTGGGCCAGGTGTGATGATGTAGAGATGGAGTGTGGATAGAGATGGTCTGCCAGCTGCTTCAGCAGGGATTTCGCTGGAAGCCTGCCATGTCAAGAGCTTTCATTCCATAGCGGTCACTGTGACTCAGACTAGCTTGCATCGGTTGGTATTGCCTCTGTTAATTATAGAGGTTAAACTTTCAACACTCAAATGAACGAACAGGTTTAGGTTTTGAGTGAGATTTTCACACTTTCACTGATGTGAGGTTTTTGATCTGGTCCTGTAGCTGTAGTTTCATAATGTACTTTGTTGAGTTATTACAGAACTGGATCTCTTTGCAGATGCGTCATTGGTTTGATTCTGTCTGTTTGCTCGCAGGTTCCAGGGTCGCGACTTCGTTAGCGTGGCTGTGCCACATGTCCTGTGTCAATCTGAGTGCTTTGAGTGGAGCTTCAGTTCTGACTAGTGCTGTGGCATTTTTTAATCTTTAAAGAATTACAGGATAATTTGGCTTTGTGGTCTCAGTAAGCCCCCCCCCCATTAGAGCACATAAGCTGACTCACGCTTTCGTCTCCAAAGAAGCTTAATCAGCTGCCCCACGTAGCTTGGCGATTACCGTCAAATTGGCTGCTGGTGTCTTGTTGTGCTTTTCAAATACACCACGTAGACTGATTGGCTTCATTCCCCGTCACTAAAAATAAATAATACCTGACCTTTCAGACGGCACTGGTGTGTACAGAATGGACCTGGCACCACAGAATATGCTTGTCTGCTAATGCTTGGAGTCTAGTGACCTGTTACATTAGATTAGATTAGATTAGATTAGATTAGACTTTATTAATCCCACGATGAGGAAATTACAGATAACCTACTCTGTGGGGACTGTTACTCTGTGGTGACTGCTACTCTGTGGTGACTGCTACTCTGTGGTGACTGCTACTCTATGGTGACTGCTACTCTATGGTGACTGCTACTCTGTCGATGACGTTGGGTACACGCTGGACTGGATGCCAGTCCATGCCAGTTCATGAAAGATCACGACGCTGGGTACACCCTGGAGGGGATGCCAGTCCATCACAGGGAATGTAGATCCTGAGTGTGTCCAGCGCACTGTCATCTGCATCTGTGTCGGTGAGGATTCTGATGTTGCAGAGATAGTCACATGTACTGAAATGTTTTACTGTTTTATTTATTTCAGTGTGCTCTTTCATGGCTACAGGAATGTGAAATAAATACATACCCTTGATTTGATTTCTTTCATCATGCAGGGCCCAACAATGACTGCAGCAATGAAT